CCGGTGGCCACCACGCAGCCGGAGTGGTGCCGGTTGAAGATCAGGAAGGGGCTGGAGGCTGTGGAGGGAAGGTTGAAAGGTTGTGGCTAGCTGGATTTGGCTGGTGGCTACCTGGATTTGGGTTGTGGCTACCTGGATTTGGGTTGTGGCTACCTGGATTTGGTCAGTGGCCACCTGGATTTGGTCTTGTGGCTACCTGGATTTGGGTTGTGGCTACCTGGATTTGGGTTGTGACCACCTGGATTTGGGTTGTGGCTACCTGGATTTGGTCAATGGCCACCTGGATTTGGGTTGTGGCCACCAGGATTTGGCCTGTGGACAGGTGACAGTGACAGTGACGGTGACGGTGACACGGTGACAGTGACGGTGACATGGTGACAAGGACAGGTGACAGTGACAGTAACACTGACGGTGACACAGTGACAGTGACGGTGACAGTGACGGTGACACAGTGACAAGGACAGGTGACGGTGACAGTAACACTGACGGTGACACAGTGACAGTGACAGTGACAGTGACAGTGACACGGTGACAAGGACAGGTGACAGTGACAGTAACACTGACGGTGACACAGTGACAGTGACGGTGACAGTGACAGTGACACAGTGACAAGGACAGGTGACAGTGACGGTGACACGGTGACAGTGACGGTGACGGTGACGGTGACACGGTGACAGTGACAGTGACACGGTGACAGTGACGGTGACGGTGACGGTGACACGGTGACAGTGACAGTGACATGGTGACAAGGACAGGTGACAGTGACGGTGACACAGTGACAAGGACAGGTGACAGTGACAGTAACACTGACGGTGACACAGTGACAGTGACGGTGACGGTGACACAGTGACAGTGACACGGTGACAAGGACAGGTGACAGTGACGGTGACACGGTGACAGTGACGGTGACACGGTGACAGTGACGGTGACAGTGACGGTGACATGGTGACAGTGACGGTGACACCGACCCGCTGTTGGTGGCGGCTCCTTCATCTTCTCGGCCTCCAGGGCGGCCTCCAGGTCCGAGACTGAGGGGACAATTTGGGGACAATTTGGGGACAATTTGGGGACAATTTGGGGACAATTTGGGGACATTTTGGGGACATTTTGGGGACATTGCACAAACTCCCAAAATGTCCCCAAATTCCCTCAAAATTCCCCCAAAAATCTCCCCAAAACAGCCGCAAATACCCCCAAAATTGAGCCCAAAATCTCCCGAAAATCCACGCAAAAAAAGCCCCAAATTCCCCAAAATTCCCCCAAAATCAACCCCAAAATCTCCCAAAAATGTCCCAAAAAATCTCCCCCAAATCCCCCCAAAATCGTTCCCAAAATCTCCCCAAAATCCACCCCAAAACAGCCCCAAATCCCCCCAAATTCCCCCCAAAAATCTCCCCAAAAATTGCCCCAAAACAGCCCCGAATCCCCGCAAAATCCCCCCAAAATTGTCCCCAAAATCCCCCTAAAATCCACCCCAAAATTCCCCAAAATCCTCCAAAAAAATCCTCAAAATTCTCAAAAAAATCCCAAAAAACCCCTCAAATTTTCCCTAAAAAATCCCAAAAAAATCCTTGAAAAAATCCCAAGAAATACCCAAAATAATCCTGAAAAATTCTCAAAAAAATCCCAAAAAAATCCCCAAAAAATCCCCAAAAAATCCCCAAAAAATCCCCAAAATTTCCCTAAAAATATCCCTAAAAATCCATTAAAAATCCCCAAAACTCCTAAAACAATCCCAAAAATTTCCCTACAAATTCCCTAAAAAATATCCAAAAAATCCTGAAAAAATACTCCAAAAACCCCAAAAAATCATCAAAATTTCCCAAAAAAATCCCCCCAAAAATCCTGAAAATATCCCAAAAAATCTCAAAAAAAATCCCCAAAATTTCCTAAAAAATACCCCCAAATCCCAAAGAAATCTCAAAAAATCCCCAAAAAAATAAAAAAAAATTCCCAAAAAATCCTCAACAAATCCCACAAAAGTCCAATTATTTCCCAAAAAAAAATCCCTAAAAAATCCCCAAAAATCCCAAAAATTCTCCAAAAAAATCCCCAAAATTTCCCTAAAAATCACCAAAAAAATCTCAAAAAAATCCATAAAAAATCCCCAAAATTTCCTAAAAAATCCCAAAAAAAACCCTCAAAAAACCCATTAAAATTCTCCAAAATATCCTCAAAAAATCCTCCCAAAAATCCTCAAAAAATCCTCAAAAAATCCAAAAAACTCCAAAAAACTCAAAAAAAAAATCCCCAAAATTTCCTTAAAAATATGCCTAAAAATCCATTAAAAATCCCAAAAATATCCCAAAAAATCCCCCAAAATTCCCTAAAAATTACAAAAAAAAATCCCAAAAAAATCCCCAAAAATTCCCTAAAAAATCCCCAAAAAATCCCCTAAAAAATCCCAAAAAAATCCCCAAAAAATCCCTAAAAAATACCCAAAAAATCCCTAAAAATCCCAAAAAAATACCCAAAAAAATCCCTAAAAAATTCCAAAAAAATCCTGAAAAAATCCCCAAAAATTCCCTTAAAAATCCCCAAAAATTCCCTAAAAATCCCTAAAAATCAAAAAAAAAACCAAAAAAATCCCTAAAAAATTCAAAAAAAATCCTAAAAAAATCTCCAAAAATTCCCTATAAAATCCCCCAAAAATCCCTAAAAATCCCAAAAAATGCCCTAAAATTCCCCAAAAAATCCCTAAAAAATACCCAAAAAATCCTGAAAAAATCCCCAAAAATTCCCTAAAAAAATCCCGAAAAATCCCAAAAAATCCCCTAAAAAATCCCAAAAAATCCCCAAAAAATCCCAAAAAACCCCAAAAAACCCCAAAAAAACCCCCAAAATTCCCAAATTTTCCCCAAAATTTGGGCCTGCCGACTCACTGCGCCGCGCGCCGAGCGTCCCCAGCAGCAGCAGCAGCGTCACCGCCAGGGCCACCAGGGCCACCAGGGCCACCCGCGGGGCCGGGCCGGGGGGGGAGGGGCGCGGCTTGGGGGGGGTCCCCGGGCGGGGGGAGGGGTCCAGGGGCTCGTAGGGGTCCTCGGGGGGGGGTGGCACCTGGGGACAGCCTGAGGGGACACGGGGACAGCGGCGGTGGCACTTGGGGACAGCCTGAGGGGTTGGGGACAGGTTTGGGGACAGCTGGAGGGGTTGGGGACAGGGCTGGTGGCACTTGGGGACAGCCGGAGGGGTTGGGGACATCCTTGGGGGACATCTAAAGGGGTTGGGGACATCCTTGGGGGACATCTAAAGGGGTTGGGGACAGGGCTGGTGGCACTTGGGGACATCTAAAGGGGTTGGGGACAGGTTTGGGGACATCTAAAGGGGTTGAGGACAGCACTGGTGGCACTTGGGGACATCTAAAGGGGTTGGGGACAGGGCTGGTGGCACTTGGGGACATCTAAAGGGGTTGGGGACAGGGCTGGTGGCACTTGGGGACATCTCAAGGGGTTGGGGACAGGGCTGGTGGCACTTGGGGTCAGCCTGAGGGGACACGGGGGACAGCGGCGGTGGCACTTGGGGACATCTAAAGGGGTTGGGGACAGGTTTGGGGACATCTAAAGGGGTTGGGGACAGGTTTGGGGACATCTAAAGGGGTTGGGGACAGGGCTGGTGGCACTTGGGGCAGCCTGAGGGGACACAGGGGACACGGCGGTGGCACTTGGGGACAGGTTTGGGGACATCTGGATGGCTTGGGGACATCCTTGGGGACAGCTGGAGGGGTTGGGGACAGCGGCGGTGGCACTTGGGGACATCTAAAGGGGTTGGGGACAGGTTTGGGGACAGCTGGAGGGGTTGGGGACAGCGGTGGTGGCACTTGGGGACATCTAGAGGGGTTGGGGACATCCTTGGGGACATCTAAAGGGGTTGGGGACAGGTTTGGGGACATCTAAAGGGGTTGGGGACAGTGGCGGTGGCACTTGGGGACAGGTTTGGGGACATCTGGATGGCTTGGGGACATCCTTGGGGACAGCTGGAGGGGTTGGGGACATCCTTGGGGACATCTAAAGGGGTTGGGGACAGCAGCGGTGGCATTTGGGGACATCTGGAGAGGTTTGGGACAGCAGTGGTGGCACCTGGGGACAGCCCTGGGGACATCTAAAGGGGTTGGGGACAGGGCTGGTGGCACCTGAGGACAGCTGGAGGGATTGGGGACATCCTTGGGGACATCTGGAGGGGTTGGGGACAGCAGCGGTGGCACTTGGGGACAGAGCTGGGGACGTCTGGAGGGGTTGGGGACAGGGTTGGGGACACCTGGAGGTGACACCGGGGACAGGGAGGTGACACTGAGGACAGGACAGGACAGGGAGGTGACACCGAGGACACCAAGGTGACATTGGGGACAGCGAGGTGACACCAAGGACCTGGAGGTGACACCGAAGACAGGCAGGTGACATTGAGGTGACACTGGGGGACAGTGAGGTGACATCAAGGACATGGAGGTGACACCGAGGACCTGGAGGTGACACTGGGCACACTGAAGTGGCACCAAGGACAGGGAGGTGACATTGAGGTGACACCAGGGACAGGGAGGTGACATCAAGGACGTGGAGGTGACACCGAGGACATGGAGGTGACATTGAGGTGACACCAAGGACAGGGAGGTGACACCGAGGACATGGAGGTGACACTGAGGACATGGAGGTGACACCAAGGACAGGGAGGTGACATTGAGGACCTGGAGGTGACACCGAGGACATTGAGGTGACACCAAGGACATGGAGGTGACATTGAGGTGACACCAAGGACAGGGAGGTGACACTGGGGACACTGGGGGACAGGACAGGGAGGTGACACTGAGGACCTGGAGGTGACACCGAGGACATTGAGGTGACACCGAGGACATGGAGGTGACATTGAGGACAGGGAGGTGACACCGAGGACATGGAGGTGACACCGAGGACATGGAGGTGACACTGGAGACACTGAAGTGGCACCAAGGACAGGGAGGTGACATTGAGGTGACACCTGGGACAGGGAGGTGACACCGAGGACATGGAGGTGACACCAAGGACAGGGAGGTGACACCGAGGTGACACCGAGGACATGGAGGTGACATTGAGGTGACACCAAGGACAGGGAGGTGACACTGAGGTGACACCGAGGACATGGAGGTGACACCAAGGACACAGAGGTGACACCAAGGTGACATTGGGGGACAGTGAGGTGACACCAGGGACAGGGAGGTGACATTGAGGTGACATGGAGGTGACATCAAGGACGTGGAGGTGACATCCAGGACAGGGAGGTGACACCAAGGTGACATTGGGGACATCGCTGGCCGTACCCTCCCCGCTGTCCAGCGCCGTCTCCACGTTCCCGTACATCGTCCCCAAAATGTCCCCAAATTGTCACAAATGTCCCCAAAATGTCCCCAAGCCCCTCCCCCAGGATGTCCCCAAGGCCACACAGGAAGAGCCCGGGCGCTATCGGCCCCGGCCACCCCCTGGGCCACCTCCGGTGTCACCTCCTGTCCCCTCAGTGTCCCCAAATGTCCCCCAGTGTCCCCGGACGGGGACACTGGGGGACATTTGGGGGCACTGAGGGGACATGTGGGGACATTTTGGGGACATTTTGGGGACATTTGGGGACACTGAGGTGGCATTTGAGGACATTTGGGGACATTTTGGGGGCATTTGGGGACACTGAGGTGGCATTTGAGGACATTTGGGGACANGGACATTTGGGGACATTTTGGGGGCATTTGGGGACATCTGGGGGCACTGAAGGGACATTTGTGGACATTTTGGGGACACTGAGGTGGCATTTGAGGACATTTGGGGACATTGAGGGGACATTTGGGGGCACTGAGGGGACATTTGTGGACATTTTGGGGACATTTGGTGACATTTTGGGACACTGAGGTGGCATTTGAGGACATTGAAGGGACATTTGGGGACATTTGGGGACACTGAGGTGGCATTTGAGGACATTTGGGGACATTTTGGGGGCATTTGGGGACATTTGGGGACACTGAGGTGGCATTTGAGGACATTTGGGGACATTTTGGGGGCATTTGGGGACACTGAGGTGGCATTTGAGGACATTGAAGGGACATTTGGGGACACTGAGGTGGCATTTGAGGACATTTGGGGACATTTGGGGACATTTGGGGACACTGAGGGGACATTTGTGGACATTGAAGGGACATTTGGTGACATTTTGGGACACTGAGGTGGCATTTGAGGACATTTGGGGACACTTTGGGGGCATTTGGGGACATTTGGGGACACTGAGGTGGCATTTGAGGACATTTGGGGACATTTTGGGGGCAGTTGGGGACATTTGGGGACACTGAGGTGGCATTTGAGGACATTGAAGGGACATTTGGGGACACTGAGGTGGCATTTGGGGACATTTGGGGGCACTGAGGGGACATCTGGGGACATTTTGGGGACATTTAGGGACATTGAGGGGACATTTGGGGACATTTTGGGGACATTTGGTGCCACCCTCAGCCCAGTCCCCATCGCCATCCCCACAGTTCCCGCCCCCAGCCGCGCAGCGATTGGTCGACTTCAATGATTGACATGCAAACTGACCAATCGGAAGCGAGCAGCGCCCAAACGCGGAAGCGGCACCCGATCAAGCAGCGGGTGTCCCACCTCCCGCGTGCTGCGATTGGATAACACCTCAGATTGACAGGCGAACGGACCAATGAGAAAACACAGAAGCCGCGCCTCAATTGGCTTTTTCACTTTGATTGACGGCGACGCGGACCAATCAGAGCAAAGCGTCGCCCAAACCCGGAAAACAAAGCTCAGCGCCATCTGGCCTCACCCCCTCCGCCCTGTGATTGGCTGATCACTCTGATTGACACCAACACCAACCAATCACCGCCGCGCCCCACCCAACCCGGAAGCACCGTTCCCAAAACGGAAAAAAGCCGGGAATATTTTGAGGGAAAACCTCGGGATTTTGGGAATTTCCTCTGTTTTTATTATTCCCCCTTCTCGGGCAGAACCTTCTGGGGCCTCCTCTGCAGCAGCTTCCGCGCGGGGGATCCCTGCAGCCTCCGGAACGCTCGGGAAGCTGGGAAAAAACCGGGAAAAATCCCAAAATTCCTCATTTTCCCGCTAAAATTCCCAGGATTTTGGGCAATTTTGGGCGATTTTTGGGGATTTTGCTCACCCAGCTGCTCCGAGAGGCCCCTGAGGAAGCTCCTGCTCTCCTCGTGGAATTCCAGCACCATTTTCCCGGCCTGCTGGGCATCATCCACCTGAAAATCCCCAAAATTCCCATAAAATTCCCA